AAAGTTTCCCTGCTTCCCTTCACTGGTTCCTGTACAGCAGGGTCGGTCTTTGTTTCACTGTTATAATCATTAAAAAGCAAAAGCAGCATGTGTATACATTCAGTAGGCTATATCTTCAGTAGCTCGCTAGCTAACCCTACACTTTTCAGGGTTTGATTTTGGTTTTGGAACAGGGAAGAAAGGTATATTTTTCCAACCTCTCCAGGTAACGAGTATCACAACGTATACACAATGTGCCCCAGGCACAACATTTAGCTCCAAATCCACAAAACCAGCCTGGAAATGAAGGAAATCTGAAATACAGCACAACTGTATTGTTGACAGATCCTAGTCTGAGTCACCTGATGCTACGTTATGATTGGCCAATCTGTGTCCAGGGGGCAGGACTTAGCCAAGGGTACCTACACCCTCCCACTTCGTCAAATAATCCAACATGACAATGTATCGTTTCATTACCACGCAGACGACTCACAGACATACCTTCCCCTGAGATAGGGTGACACAAAAAGCCACTGCTGTTTTAGCTTGTCATCAGATTTAAGCTCATACCAAAAAAATTGTCCAGTACTGCTTCCTCTAAATTAGAACTGTCTCCAAAATTAAACCAACACTCCCAGAACCCAGAAAAAGTCATTTACACATTTACCTTCTCTAGACTTGACTATTGTAACTCTCTCCTTCAGAGCTCGGCAGCTGGGCTTCTCTCTGGTTTTAAGAGATGATACTGCATCAACCCAATCCTGGCTTCCCTCCATTGGCTCCCTGTTCGTTTTAGAATAGATTTTAAGATCTCACTGATCACTTTTAACTCCTCTGGCTTTGGCCCCAAACTATATGGTGGATATGTTTACTCCGTATGACCCAGTTTGTAGCCTTAGATCCTCCAGGGGTGGAAATCCCGGGGGGGACAGGGGGGACATGACTCCCCCTTCAGTAAAGCTGTCCCCCTCAAGAATAATTTGAGACACAATTAATAATTTTTGAACAATGCAGTAGTATTTATTAAAAGCTCAATGTAAGCGGTGCTCATTATAAAAGCGCAATAATGTGCTATTTAAATCTTAAAAGATTTAGTCCCCCCCTCCCATTCCTAGTAGTGGTATATCCCACACTCTTTCCAATGGGCGGGGCTGTTTGGCAGCAGTAGCAGCGTGTGGCTGGACCCGGCTGCCCACATCGCACGGGGTAAGATGTACGCTCACACAGACACAGTTTAACTTACAAAAGTTACAACACATCCCATTTACTGTTACAACAAGCCCCAAGCCCAGGCTGATAATATAAACTGTCTGCAACATTTCTCCTGCATTGTTCAAAAGCCAGAGTTTAGTGATAGTCAGAGAGGACAGGAGAGAAAGAAGAGGGAGAGGACAGGACAAGAGCAGTCAGTGGCGGAGCAGCTTGTAGTTAATATCTGTAGGCTCTCCACCTGTCAGTGAGACAAACAAGAAAGACGTGCAGTTTAACTGACGAGGAGCGGTCATTACGCGCGACTATTACACACGGTTTTGAGGTGCGCAGCGGCAGATCTCACAGCACACTGTTTATAAACCAGTTCACCAGTTTAATTGCAGGAAATGGTTATCTCACTGCCGGTAAAAAAAAACGAAACAAACAAAACGGTTTGCTCCTGCAGCCAGCCAGAGACGACGGATCCATTCCACACACCTGAGCCAGAGCAAAAAGAGGGAGAGAAGGAGAGAGATCGAGTTTCTCTCTTTGATGAATGAAGCCTTATTGTTTTGCTGCTATTAAACAATGACAGACATGTTTTCTCCGTTTACTTAATAGCATAAATATTCACACTACTGCGCACGGGGAGACAGAGTCCTGCTCTGCACCTGACTGTTGTCGATGTGTACATGTTAATTTGATTTCAATCATTTTGTTTTAAATCTGGACATGTGCAGGTGGACTCAGCCGGTGCTAAGAAAGGTCCTATGCCTGCCTGTTGGAGAGATAGAGAGAGGATTAAAGAGTCAAATTGCGGTAAAAGATGCTGTATAAAAGACAGGCTACAACTTTTTTTCCTTGTCCCCCCCTGGAATTATTCTCTAAAATTTTACTGTTTATTGTCCCCCCAACTATGAAATGGGATTTTCGCCCCTGGTAGTGGCGTCTGGCTGTCCCCAAGTCGGGGCTTAAATCTAAAGATGAAAGCCTGCAGAATTAGTCACCCCCTTTAAATCACTTAAAATCACACTTGCTTTTATGTAATGTCATCTTTTTACTCATCTTTTAATCATCTTTCAACCATTCTTTTATTATGTCTTGATTCTACTTAATAGTATTTTGCATGTTTTGCTTTTAATCTTTTTATTGTATTTACTTTTATTGATCAAGTATGGAGAGTACAGTATAATAATGATTGTATTGATAGAATTGGGGTTGTAAAGAATCAACCACAAACATATTGTATTGCTATCTTTCAGTAAACAATTTTATATGAGGCCCAGTGACAAACTGCATGTGTTTAAATCTGAGAATTTCTTACCTCACAGCTGGTAGACATGTCCTGGCAAGCAGAGATGAAGGATGGCTACTGGCTGGGTAAAGATCACCCTGGGGTCTACTTGGGAGAGAAACAGGCTCTGAATGAGGACTACACACACTCTGGCTTTGACCGTGGTCACCTCAACCCCAATGGACACCATGCAGGTAATGGAGGTTGAAAATGGGTGAGTTTTTGGAGTGAGGTCAGTAGGTGGCAGCAGCCACCACACAAAGCTGTCGGTTGAGTTCAGCAGGGGTCATGTACAGTATCACAGACTTCTGAGAGAAGTAAAGGATTACTGCTTTAAATCAGTGTAATGAATTGAGGGATTCATTTATTTGTTTGATGTTCAGTCCAGTTAATAATAAACTGTACCTTTTTCCATGACTTTCCAGATTTCACAGACACATATGTAAGTGCATTTTAGACGTATTTTGCTGTGATACAACAGGATGAAGGGAAAGTCACAAATAGCTAATCTTTGCATCAGTCTGTTACTCAGAAGCATGGAAGGTTGAATTACTTTATGGTTTCTGGTTTCTATGGTGTCATCAATTGGGTGTCTGTGGCGTCTGTTGTCAAAGCAACCATAGGGCAGCTATGGGAGGCTGCAGCCAGAGAAATACTTGGAATCTCATCTCAATTTTAAATCGCAAGGAGGAGTTTATATGCCAGAGGACATGCAGATACATTTTATTTATTTATTTAATTTAACTTTATTTAACCAGGGAGTCCCATTGCGATTGAAAATCTCTTATACAAGAGAGACCTGGCCGAGGTAGCAGCCAATCAAAAAACATTTAAAATGCAACAAATGCAACATAAAATACAAAAAAATCACAATAAAACAACAACAATTCAAACATAGTGGCCTCTCAATAGAAATAAGCACGTTTCTTTCACCAGTTTCTTTATGGTGACCTTAAATGCATCAATGGATAGAAATGTTTCTAATTTTAGATCTTTTTGAAGATTGTTCCATGTCCAAGGTGCACAATAGGAAAATACATTTTTCCCTAGATCTGTTAAAACCCTGGGTACATTAAAAAGAAACCACCTGGTGGAGTGTAGCTAGTAACTACCAGAGCTGACACACAGAAGGGAGCAGATGGAAGTTTGCCCAGTGTTGCTTTATAGATAAAAATATAACAGTGCTGTTGTCTGCGAGTGGTCAATGATGTCCAACCCACCAACTCATAAAGAATGCAGTGATGAGTAAGTGACTTTGCATTTGTAATAAAACATAGAGAACATAACATAAACATAAAATGGAGGAGGTGGCATGCATATACAATATGCCACCGTACTTAATTATTAGCTGCCAAGTCCGTTTTATATTTATAGATTTTACAAAGGCAAAAGGGAATTTCTTATAATTACTTTATGTTTTATTTACTTAAGATCATGATATGAATATTTTTGCTGTGAAATGATTCCTTATTCTGCATGCACTACATTTTTTATAATCCAAAGATTGTTATCACAAGATTAAAACAATCATTATCATGAGGGAATAAAATTAGAAAATGACATTTGTGCATGACCATGTGGTTTTCCTCAGTTTTGCCATTTTAAATATTAAATATGTAAGCAAATGTTGAATGTTAAGGGTATTAGACACTACATTCAAGATAACAGATAATTGTCATCGATACTGCTCTGATCTGTTCCCATGGGGTCTTTGCTGCTGCTCTCCCTGCCTTAGGCTTTCCATGTAGGCGCATGGAAGGGCAGAGAAGTGTACTCTCTCACTTTCCACTCAGGTGCATGCAATACAGCAAATAGAAATAAAGTTTTTGTTGACTAAAGTGTGCATGACTAAACTGTATTTTTTTTTCTTGCATGGCTTTCTGTAACTCTCCATTCCTATCTCTCACAGTCCCGAGCCGCAATGCCACTTTCACCCTGACCAACGTGGTTCCTCAGAACCCCAAGCTGAACCAGAACGCCTGGAGGATCCACGAGTCCCAGCTCACTGACCTTTTCAGGGAAAAATGCTCCAAGGCCTACGTGCTGGTTGGAGCCGTTCCCTCTGCTGACAACTGGATCGTGAAAAACAACGTGAAGCGTGTCAACATCCCAGACTATCTGTGGAATGCCTACTGCTGCGTCGACAACAACGGCAGACCGATTCACAGCGGTGGTGCCACAGCGAGGAACACAGAGGACAACTGGGTGGAGAAACTCTCTTTGGATGAACTGGGAGAATTTCTCCAGCAGTTCTCCAATCAGCCAGTAGGGGAGCTGTTTTACAACAACTGTCGGGTATAAAAGATGACAAATAGACGATGAAAGAGGAATTTTAGGGGCCATTGATCTTTAATATTACATGACATTTGTATAACCACAAAGATTTTTTTTAAAGCATGAATTCAAGCGTGGTAATACAGTAAAAACAAATTGAGTTGTCAACAGTTTTAAGTTTTAACACTAATATATCCCTTATTATTTTATTATTCAACCACAAAATCAGGAATCAAAATAAAGAACAGAGTGATACAGTGACTGTTTGCTTGTGTCTTTTTTATTGGCATAAAGGCAAATAGCAACATACACAACTGAAAACACAGTAAGTGTCTGTCTTACAAACACAAAATCAACGGTCATGTTTTTTGAGCTGAGCCACTCCTTTAGGATTACAGTATACCATCCAAGAAGCAATGTGTCTCTAACCCTAACCCCAGTGTATTATGATTACATCCCAAACTAACACCCATCTCTCTGCACTTTTAATCAGCTACAATTTAAATTTTTTGTCATATTTAAGCATAGGGTGGTCACTCCAGCGAGGCAGGTTGGAGAGTTTCTCCTCAGTTGCTCTTGTCATATTTAGCCATGGGGTAGTCACTCCAGCGAGGCAGGTTGGAGAGTTTCTCCTCAGTTGCTCTTGTCATATTTAGCCATGGGGTGGTCACTCCAGCGAGGCAGGTTGGAGAGTTTCTCCTCAGTGGCTGTGGCTATGGGCCAGCCCCAGGCTTTGAAGAACCCAGTCAGGTTCTTCCCAACAATCTGGGAGAAGGTCTCAGTGTACAGGTTCATCTTTCCCTCGTTGTCACTGGGGTAGTTGCTTATCTTGTGGTAGGCAGCAAACACCTTCTTGAAGGCATCCCAGCCAAACTTTTCCTGGAGCTACATGGAAGGAGACAGAGGTCGAAGACAATGTGACTAGACAGTAGATTGATGGAAGTTAATGAGAGAGTTAACAATTTAACAAAAAAATAGGAAAGTCATAAGAGGCAACTTTATCCACATGACAGTGGGGCTCAGTCCAGAGTGAGATATCTGAACAACTATTGGATTGATAGCGATGAACTTAATAATTATGTCATCTTTAACAAGCGGGACTATATTAAAATTCTTCTTGTCCAACACAAAAGACCTCTTAAGAAAAATTAATGTAAAGACGTCTTGGCAAGATGTTCCACAGTCAGCCCTACAACCCGTTTACACCTTATGCCTGAACGTGATGTTCATTATGGACCATCCATCATGAGCACAGAATTCCAGTGACCAAAGAACACCCAGGTTAAGAGCAGAGAGGCTGTTTCTCCACAAACTTTCCTCACCATGTTTCTTTTGAAATACAGTAATTCTCTTTTACCTGCAGATATGTCTCCAGGGCCGTCCACACATACCAGTCGCTGAGTTTTCTGCCCCCTTTAACATAATGGTCTACAGTGTTCTTCCGTTCTGTTGCGATCATAGCTGGATGAGCCTGCATTGAAGACATAGCACTCATTATATTATAATGTTAACTGAGGGGAAATAGCAGAACTGAGAAACATGTGATCACAAAAAGAGATAAATAGTGGTTGTCTGTTAATATAAAAATGTGTCACAATACACAATGACACTTAGAAACCTGGCTTTTCTGGGCCTGGTCATTTGGCCAAAGCAAAACTGACTGACTACCTTTTCCCTGTTGATCCCCAGCACCTCTTCATGCACATACACTGACCACAGGTTGTTTGTGGCCTCTCCGGTGTGTGGTCTGAACTCCCAGGGGTCTCTCTGCTGGTTGTGTCCCAGTTCATGAATTTCACCCCACAGGACCACAGTCCTGTCATCACCTACTCTGAAGACTTCACTTACAGTATATGTGTGCATCATGACAGGATAGCCTGAATGCATCAGACCTGGATGGAGAGAACAGTAAACACACAGGATATATGACTTAAATCTTATTCATTTATAAATAGTTTTAAGGGTTCAAATAACAGACCCACCATTCTCACCATTACAGCACATGCGGCTGAGAAATGCAGCTGATTGAATGTGTGAGAATGTGACAACAAAACACACTTACCAGCAGAAATCTGCACATCTGCCACAAAGCGTTCTTTGCGTGGCAATTTATGTGGTATGGCAGCCAGGTCAGTGACACCTTTCATGATCTCATCCCATACCGCTGCCACCTTTTCAGGGTGCTCCAGGCCTCGAACAAAATCTGACGGTGCACTTATGATGATGTTGTCACACTCCAACTCTGCCCAGGGTGCAGGAGCTGTGCGCAGCGACGACCATTCTGCTGCTGTTGTAACACCTGAAGTGATCAGGTGGGTGTTGGTGGGGGTGAAATTAAAAACAGATTAATCGAACCATGGGCTGTCAATATATTGGAAAAAATAGAACGTACAAACAGGACCAGGAACCTGGTTCCCAGGCAGCAAACAGGGTTATAACTGCTGCATGATATGCATTACATTCTTCACACAGACATTTGAGGAGTATGAGCAGACAGCGACACTCACCAGACTTGTAATAGGGAGCAGCTACAGCTTTCTGCACTATCACCTCTGCCCCCTCCACCTTTGTGTTGGGTGGAGCCACCAGGTAGATGAGTCCTCCCCACAAGTTCCACACCTGCATCTTCTCTGCAGTAACAGCGAATCGCTCAACAACAGATGGTGCTCTCTTTAACTCTGCATGACCCAGGTGGTCTGATTGACAGCCGATCTGGATCTGAGGAGGAAATGGAATAATGGTTACTGCTTTGAAAACCTGTATGACAAGTGTGCTTAATTTTTCCGTAGATGCAAATAAAGTCAATGGACATAAATCTGGACAGAATACCACTGAAGGCATGTGGGGCAGTATGTGAGATAAGAACACAGAGAGAAGAGAGGTTATAGAGGTAACCTAAGAGAAAAACCTTTCATTTTAAAGCTGTCCCGAGAAAAATCCACATAAATCTTTGATATCTTGCAGCGACTTTCCTTATAAAGGCTTGTTAACGTTTAAACAACTCATAAAATGGCCGTGCAATGTAAAAGCGTTCATCAGAATATTGATATTTTAATTTAATGATATGTCTGGTATTGATATATATCACTGATTAATGTCTTACTCAATATAAATAAGTAAAAGGTAGTGTTACTGTACAGATTATAAAGCCCTTTGAGATATAATCGTTATTTCGGGCTATATTGACAGAATGGACTTCACTTGGTAGTCTGAATTAGCAGAACATTGACAAACACATCATGAACTGATCAAATATTGTATTTTGTGCACCGTACCTTCCAGCTCTTGTTGACCATGTTTGCTGGTATGGTGATCTCAGTCTTCATACCAGGAGAAAGGTACAGACCTGTGCTGATCCACTCTTCCCCTCCTGACACACATACAGAGCAGCAAACGTTACACTCAGAGGGGCATGTAACAGAGAGAGATTTTATCTATCCTTTATGAGTAGTCTCATGACTACACACGACTGCAACATATTAATTGTAGAGATAAATTACAGGTCTGCATGTTTATCACATAATCATCTTTCACAGTTGTTCACAACAACTGACCTGCCGTGTTGGCATTAATTCTGATCCTTTGGTTTTCCATGAAAGGCATCACAGGGATCTGCTTGATGAGGTACGGCAGGAGAGCATCACGATCTGGGGACTCTTTATATGCCTTCGTCCCCAAACTGAGGAGCAGGTGATCTCTGGGACTCTTCACAGGGTTCTTCTCACTCACCTTGAAATGAAGTGTATATAAATGATTATAAAACCGATCGCTGTAACACAACCTGATCGCTTGGTGACAGAGAAATTAATTTCTGACTCACTGATGCTGAACACTATTATGTTATTTTTGTTTTGTAGTTTGCTGTCTTATACAGTAGCCTGCAGTAATTATTATTACTTGTTTGACAGAGCAGATGCGCCCTCTTTATATACATACTAATAGCATTCATAAAGTAATTCACTGCTCACCGGTTTCATGCCAGACTTCTTCAACACGTCAGTGAGGATGGACAGCACATGATTGTAGGAGTAGCTGTCATGAGCCTCCAACTTCAAGAAGTACTCACACTCCATGGCCAGTTTTTTAAGGTCGTCCTCCTCATGCTTGGCAAGTTTGTCACCCTGGAAAACATCAGCAGCAAAGCGGCGTAGACGTTGGCGGAAGTGGCCAGTGTCCTTCATGGCCTGGCTTGGCACAGGAGCCTTGTAGGAACCTCCTCCAATTGTTTTTGGTGTCAGGCTCAAGCCCATTTTGTTCAGGATCTTGTTCCCTGAAACACAGTTCAACAAGTCTGACTTTATCTACTGGGTTGTATGGTCCATCTTTTATGGTTACGGTTTTAAAGATCAGGTCGAATGAACTGTGGAATCAACATTCAACGAAACCAAAATAGCCTAAGTTGTGTTTATATTCAATTAAATTAGACAGTGCAAATGTGTTGCTGTCTTAGCACAGTGGAAGTCATTATATGGCTCTGAATTGGCAGGCTTGTGCTTGATAAGTGTCAAAGCAAACATCCATTATCTTATATCATCAACTCTTGATCTGCATTATCATACCTGTGGTTTCCGTCATAGGGTTTCCAGAATGTGTGTATGTCCAGTACCAAGTGTGCCCACCAATCAGCAGGCCTCCTCCCTGTGCTACAAAGTCTTGGATTTCCTCTGCATCACCATTGCTCCATACTGTACACCCAAATACACTCAGGTCTCTCCTGAACATTGTCTCCTCATGCTTCAACCCGGACTTGCTGGCAAGTCTGAGGTTTGGCACAACACCAATGACCCCCTTCCTGCCCTGGTCCAACCAATCAACGGCACTGGTCCAAAATGGAGCCAGTTTCTGTAATGAAAAGAAGCATTTCAAAAGAGACAGTAGTTAATGATGTCAAATGGTTTGGCAGAATAGAATGTAAGATTAATTTAGCACACTTCAGATAACCAGCCACAAGTAGCCTTAAGTAAAGATCTTAGGAAAGACATGACAGACTGTATTCACACCTAATACACAATACACACGGGGGAATTTTAATTTTATGCCTAATTTAACTCAAAACAGACTTCTCTGTTCATTTAAAGACACTGTAAGACCATTAATTCAGACTGCACCTCTACTGTCAGAAGTGCTTCATGTCCGATCACAATGACTCGTCCCTTCCCATAGTAGCCTCCTGCCAGGAACACCCTTCCATCCTCAGTGGTACCAATGGGGAAGGCCAGTGGTCCGTGGACCAGAACCTCAGATGACAGGGCATCTGCCCAGTCAAACTCTGAAATCCCCTGGAGTAAGAACTCCAGGTCATCTTCAAAATTTTTTCCAAGACTGTATTAGAGAAAAGCAGAGGGATAGAGAGACACAGGGGGAGATGGGTGAAACAGGAGAACAAACTACAAACCATTTAGATTCAGTCACAAACATGAAAGAGGAATATACACTTACCGTAAAGTCTTCCATGAGGATGGGATCTGAGGGTGGACAGGTATGATCTCTGCTTTTCCATAATCTGTAGAAAAGTAGATCCCTGCCACACCAGACACTTTATTCCCTGGGAATTGCAGAACTGTGTTCTCTTTAGGATGAGTTGAAGCCCAGTGCCATGCCTGCCCTGCTATCAGCACTCCTCCTCCAGCTTTCAGAAATGCCACCAGCTCCTTCACATCTGCACCCACGCTGTAGGCATCTGTCACATACACACCAAGCCCCACTTTGTCACTGAAGGCCTCAACAACTTTGGCTTGGAAGCTAGACTTGCTGAGGTTATCAGCAACTGCCTTGCTGTTTTGTTGGACCCCCACAGACAGGTTGTCAGAGCCATCTCCTCTCAGCCAGGCCAGAGCATTCTCTACCAGAGCAGGAAAGGCGGACAGGTAGGCCTCATGACCCAGGACCACAACCCTCCCACGGCCAAACAGAGAGGCTGCCATCAGGACCTGGCCCTGGCTGTTGATTGCTAAAGGAAAGGCATTGTCTCCAGTTAGCACCAGGTCACAGGGAACACTGGAGCCCCGGAGGTCCAGCTCTTTTAAACCTTTCATCAGGGACATGTAGGCCCCGTTGTGGTAGGACTGGGTGGGCTGAGTGGACATGATGAAACAACTGATGCTTGGAAGGTTGGATGAAGAGGGTGGAACAGATTTAAATCACGTTAATGAGTGAAAGTAAACAGTTGTACAGAGGTGTGATGTGTCAGTCAGGCTGTCCTGTGGGAACAGAAAGATTATTAACAGAGCTTAACATAAACTGTTTGACACATTTACAACAATAAAGATAATGTTAAAATGTCTACAGTTGGTTCAGAAATGGAAAAATATACAAATCAGCAGTTGTCGATCCATTAAAGATCAAGAGTTTGTAGGTTTAAATTTAATCCAAAAACTACAGAAATAAAACAAACACTGGTCTTTACCTAAAAGTTAATTTGGTCAAATAATTGGATCGAGGCACAGCAGTTTTCCAAACAAAACACTGTCTGACCAGATTAAAGAAAGACAGTGAAAGAGCAGGACATGGGGGACTATTTAAAGGAAAATTGACAGAGAATAAGGGGAGGGACGAGAGAAAAGAGAGGATGGATGAGATCAGGTAGATTGGCCACTTGACCTGCCAACATCCTGGAAAGAGGAACTTACTGAGGAAAAGTAACCACAATGTTGTCATTTTAACGTATTTCAGAATATTACAGTAACAAACTTTGCCTCTGTGATTCTGAAGAACTGGTTTGCTAAGAGAGAACTGTTTACACAATGTCTGCTGGGAGTGCACTCAGGGTGACACCGTTATCGGTATTCTCAATTCGTATGTTTGTATTTGTTTTATGAAAAGGTATTAGTAGTTATCAGGTATTAAGAGGTGCAGTGGTGTAAATGTGTGGTTGACTGATAGTGAGGAGAGTGTATTTATGTGATAGTTTGATTAGTGATGTATTAGTATAGCTTGGGCCTGGGAGGTAGGGCTAGTCAAGTGTCTTCCTACTCCTATTGATATTTTTCTTTTAATCCTGACAGTCTGAATGTACTGCATGACTGTTTGTCTGCAATTAATGACTGGATGGTCAACAATTTCCTCCAGCTTAACGCTGCTAAGACCAAGGTCCTTATTGTCACTCCTGACTGTATTGCTTCTAAGGTGGCTAGCTGTATTGGGTCCCTGAATTCAAACATCCGCTCTAACCTGAGAAAGGTTAGAGCACTTTAATAAACACATCCATGCGTTGACCTGTACATGAACTGAGATCTGCTGTATCACATGCGGAACTGGAAATGATCATTCACGCCTTTGTGTCATCACATCTGGATGACTGCAGTTCTCTTTTCATGTGTCTCAGTACAACTTCTGTAGATCGCCTTCAACTGGTGCAGAATGCTGCTGCCAGGCTGTTTACCAAATCATCCAAAAACTGCCATATTACTCCTGTCCTGGCCTCCCTACACTGGCTTCCTGTCAGCTTTAGGATCAGTTCAAAATCCTTGTTTTAACATATAGAGCCCTTCATGGTCAGGCCAGTCACGGCCTGTTGGCAGTTCCTCGCACTAGGCTCAGAATTAGAGGTGACCGGTCCTTTGAGTCCATTACGCCCAGATTGTGGAATGCCCTCCCACAGATTTTGAGAGTCGCAGCATCTGTTGATGTTTTAAGAAGCACCTTAAAACCTACCTGTATAGGCAGGCATTCTTCAACTTGTCTTAAGTGGTTTAGTTTTGCTGTTTCATTTTGTGTCTCTGTATGTTTGTATGTATGTATTCTTGGTTTGTGTTTTAAACCTGTGAAGCACTTTGTGAGTTCTCTCTGTAAGAAGTGCTATACGAATAAATTTTACTTAGTCTGTTCATGATTGTTGATCTGTTTTGTAGGATTTTTTTTCCACAATATATTCTTTGTTTTTTTTAAAAAAAAAATGCTTGAAATAAATAAATCAAATCAAATAAAAAATTTGAATTATTATAAAAATGATGCTTGTTTTTGGAGAAAACGCACTGAAACAGTAAGGTCATTGTAATTCATGTGGCTTATGCACATACACACATATACAGCTGAATAAGTATAAATAGTATAAATGAAAATAAGATATAAATGCTTTTTAATAACTGTACTGTTTGTATTATTTTACTGTGCCAATCACAACATGAATATGTGTGCATGTGGGACAGCAGACATTGCGTAGACACTTCTCACTTAGTGAACCCTTTGTGAACTCTTTAGAATAACAGAAGTAAATGAGTGGTTTGTAATGTCACATTTGCAGTATTGTGTTTTACTTTTCTCAGTATAGTCCCTCTTTCTCAAACTTGTTCTCTTAGTAAAAGCATCTAGACATCAACCAAACTCCAGCTAGTGGCATGCACAGACTTTTTGAAGGGCAGGGGCGAAAAGAAAAAAAAGGGCACATACAGCCACTGAAGAGGGCACTAAGTTCTGCGTGTTTTCGAGGGCACTTTAGACATGTTTATATGTTATACAAATGGCACATTATATAGCCTTAAAACAGACTACTCAAGTTAGTTTGTAGTTAGGATCAGCATCCACGAGAACTGTGTAGATTCAACGTTGGACTGTGAATAACACACAGAGACATGGATGTATGAAAGAAATAAATCCCTGGGGGGGTCTGGGGGTCCTCCCCTCCCAAGAGGGCACTTTAGCGTGTGTTTTGGCTCCCAGGAGGGCATTTTGGCTGCCAAGAGGGCACTTTAGCGCGCATCTACTGTTATTATACACATATGACTATTGTCACACATGTATACTGCCAGATATTAATACATACTTTCAACATATTGTACCACAGTAGCCAGAACTATAACTATAATATTATTACTTTCAATAATGTTGTTGTAAGCTACTGTCAGTACCTGCATCTCTCTCTCTCTCTCTCATTGTGTCATGTGGATTACTGTTAATTTGTTATGCTGATCTGTTCTGTACGACATCTATTGCACGTCTGTCCGTCCTGGAAGAGGGATCCCTCCTCAGTTGCTCTTCCTGAGGTTTCTACCATTTTTTTCCCCCGTTAAAGGGGTTTTTTGGGGAGTTTTTCCTTATCCGCTGCGAGGGTCATAAGGACAGAGGGATGTCGTATGCTGTAAAGCCCTGTGAGGCAAATTGTGATTTGTGATATTGGGCTTTATAAATAAAATTGATTGATTGATTGATTGATTTAGTCTCCCAGGAGGGCACTTTAGTGCGCATTTTGGCTCCCAAGAGGGCACTTTAGCGTGCGTTTTGGCTCCCAGGAGGGCACTTTAGCATGCGTTTTGGCTCCCAGGAGGGCATTTTGGCTGCCAAGAGGGCACCTTAGTGCGCAGTTTGGCTCCCAGGAGGGCGTTTTGGCTCCCAAGAGGGCACTTTAGCACGTGTTTTGGCTCCCAAGAGGGCATTTTAGCGCGTGTTTTGGCTCCCAAGAGGGCATTTTGGCTTCCAAGAGGGCACTTTAGTGTGTGTTTTGGCTCCCAAGAGGGCATTTTGGCTTCCAAGAGGGCATTTTGGCTTCCAAGAGGGCATTTTAGCGCGTGTTTTGGCTCCCAGGAGGGCATTTTGGCTCCCAGGAGGGCACTTTAGTATGCGCTTTGGCTCCCAGGAGGGCATTTTGGCTGCCAAGAGGGCACTTTAGCGTGCAGTTTGGCTCCCAGGAAGGCACTTTAGCATGCATTTTTTAATAATTGGGCCACAAGGGGGGAGACCACTGACTCCAACAAAAGGAAATTGAAGTTCACTTTTTATCGTTTTAGTTTGTTTCTTGCTTGTAGCAAGTTTTATTGAAATTAGTATAAAGGCTCAGCACTCAAGGTCCATATCAAATAAAGTTATTCACTATTTAGGCATCCAAGGTTATCTGAATGCAATGATTCCACATTTCATCTGCTGTATTTCATGCTGGTCTCCGGCAGACAAAGTGGATGTTCCCTCCATTAACAGCCTGAAAAGCTTCTTGTACTGCACTGTTTCATATGTATTTTCATATAAGCTGTACACTTCATGTGCTATGAGTAGTGAGAGTTAAAGGAACATCTGATCACATCAGAACATTTTAAAGAAGTAAAATGAATCATAAATCTGTTTTCATATTGTATTTGTTCAAAACATTTGCATTGTGCAGTAAGCACAGTTTTAGTCATTGTATCATAACTGACTGTGCAGAGACTACAATTTGCAACTCTTACAGTGCACTGAATATAATTTGTATAAATCAGCCTTATCTACGACCACCTTAAAAACATAGCAAGACTTAAAAGACTCATGTCTCAGCAAGACTTAGAAACGTGTTCACACTTTCATCTTTAGGAATATTGATTATTTTGATAGTTTCTTTCTGCAGCTTATTCAGAACACTGCTGTCCCAGGTCTCAGAGCTTTGCACTGGCTTCCTGTGCCTGAAGTAACTGATTGCAACATACCACTATTGATTTAAAAGGCACTGAATGTCCACACTTTCCTCTAAAACACACAAAAAATTACCCTTTTATAAGTGATCTTATTAAAAAAATTACACGTGACCAATGATAGATTGTAGAAACGTGAAGTCTCTGAAGCAAACACAACTGATGTTCAACGTTTTTCTTATTGAAAAGCAAATCATTTGCAGAAAAAAAGTGATAAATAAAGTAATATTCAATTATTCATTTACATTATTGTTAAAAAAACACTCCTTTGAGGTAGTTTAGTTAGTTGCTTATTATGTGTTCACTTCAGGCCTTGCACCTGTTGCCATTGTACTTGCACCAGGTAGTGACTGCGCAGATCTGCATTGTGCAATAACTATCTGTGAGAAGTCATATTCCAAAGAATCACTGTTTTGCAACTTGTAAAAAAGTGTTGTTTCCTCTCTCCTTTCTGTGTTAACAGGAGAGTCTCTGAAGCAAACACAACTGATGTTCAACGTTTTTCTTATTGAAAAGCAAATAATTTGCAGAAAAAAAGTGATAAAGTAATATTCAATTATTCATTTACATTATTGTTAAAAAAACACTCCTTTGAGGTAGTTTAGTTCGTTGCTTATTATGTGATCACTTCAGGCCTTGCACCTGTTGCCATTGTACTTGCACCAGGTAGTGACTGCACTGCGCAGATCTGCATTGTGCAATAACTATCTGTA